TTAATTGAGTAATTTATTGTAGGGCAGAATTTAAAATTGCCGTTCTTATTGGATGGTTTGATGCTAAGCTGGAATAGCCTCAGCTGACGGAAAAAGGCATGAATTTTGGAATACGCATCATTACAGCTCTGAAGTTAAGAAGATGGAATCAGTGATAACAACAGCACTTTCAGCATGTACAATTTTAGGTGCGCAGATTCGTCTTCGGTATGGAGGTAACAGGAGGCAACCTCCGTGTTAAAAGTATTTGAATTATTGGCTTGACTTAATCAATGCGCCTGTGGCTTCTCACGTAATAGACCAATATTTCACCCTCTCCCCCGATTTTTTTGTAAATATGGGCTTATAAATCAATAACCAGGGGTGTGCGATAGACTTACCACCATGTGGTGCACCCTGGGTAACGCATAATCATATATCAAGTAAGTCTATTAACTGACAGTTGACTTCTGACTACAAACTACCGTCACCCCACTGTATGTCATAATCGACTGCTTCTACAGTACTCACCTTACCTTTATCTACCTTTGTATCTGTCTCTTTTACATCGTTAAAACACTCTTCTGTCCCACCCCCCCCCTCTCGACTCTTTGTCACTTTGATGTTCCTCCTCCTCTCTGTGAAGCCTGAAGTCAACTAAGGGGCTAATGATAACTATCAAAACGCCTGCCATTTGATATAAATCAGTTAATCAATAACCATCTTGTCCAATGCAAATGCAATTTTCAATTAAACAGCCAAACATCCATGTTTGCCCAAAGTGTATTTACATTGTTTCGAGCCAAGACACCAACTTTTCTAAATAAAAACAAATTTTTCTTGAATTTACTAATAACTACTAACATTCAGTTTTAGCAAAGAGTTATTTCATAGTTATAAATACTGTACTATATTTAATAAATTTTAGTTTCAAATTTATTTAAAGAGAGGAGAAAATACACTATTCAGAGAGGAGAGTAGTACATCCATTTTCATTTCGATATTTTGTTTTATCTGAAATGGGGAAAAATTGAGATAATTATGTTTGCCATACAATTTTTTACTGCTTCTTTCTTCACAATTTTCCCTGCCCATTTGAGTAAGTTTTGATAATCTCCGCATGGGGAATAAGGAAGGCATTAATAGTCGCTTAAATTGATCTCGATTCGCAAGAGAGGTTTACCTTCCATGCCATGTCAATAGGTAACCATCTCAGAATTGGTGGTCTTTACTGTGCTTTCGTAATTAAACCAGTTTTCTCAAAAGCTTTCTCTGGCTACTTCTCTATCTTTCCACAAATTCACGACGATTTATCCAACTC